CTATACGAACATTCCGCCAACCGATGATTAGTTTTACATTTACGGTAAGAAGACATATTGGCTGACTGAGTTTCCGAAGCTTTTCACCAGTCCACTTCATTTTGTCTACACCATTCAAGCGAAAAATAAGTTTTTTTTCATATTTTCATACTTTTCTTGTTCAGTTTGTAGGCGTTTGATTGATTTTCCGGGGTACGGTTGCTAACCTCAATTGCAGTCCTCCCTCTTTTCCTAGACTTGAGACAAGATATATAACTAGCGAACTAGTAAAATAGATGACGTTACACATAAATTTCTCGCCTCTACAATAAATGGAGATACATAGAAGAAAGAACGATTAAATAAATACTAGTGACGAGTGAATACTTCTGCGTCAATGAGAACTATTTTGAGGCGCATCACAAACAATTTCCAATGTCGAAGACACTGACCAACTTCCTTATGCGGCTTACAAAAGAGACTACGTTGATTGCTGTTATGTTTTCATATGACTAACCTTAACTAATTGCGAACCTAGCTAACATTACTTTCCGCGGAAGTTAGTGGATTGGCATGCATAACACATTTTCTAGAACAAAGTCGCCAACTAACTTTCCCTCCCCACCTAGTACCTTACACTTACCTTTATTATTACTTACCAAATTGCTACACTTATCACAAGAGGCTGGCCAGAGCCACCTACAGACAAGAACTGCTAGACTTTTTTCATCTTGTTAAAACTATTTGTAGATGATTATTTAAAAGTATTCCAATCAAAGTGAATAAAACAAGTTTACCATATTGTGATGTGTTGAAGTTTTGTTACTGTTATGTGTAGTTTTGTTCAACAAGTTTTATGATTCTTTCTATCCTTTTTGTAAAGATGATTACAGTCTGGTCTTGTCATACATCAAGGTAGACTAAATCGAGTCAGTACTAAACCCACCTACGTTAATCAGCCATATCAACCACTACAGTTACATTTTAAAATATAAAAAAATTAACAAATAAATGCAACGAATAAAATGTTCAAGTGTTTATTATCATTATTGTTATTAACACTAATTACTTAAATTATCTTTGACAAGTATTACTTTGCTACAATTAAACAAGGTGGATAAACAGAAAGTGGAAATCTACTCTTCCAGATACTTGAATAAGTTAGATAGACTTTAGTGTATTAGAGAACAAAGTAAAAGAAGAATTTCTCTGTTTTATCATGCAACTGAATGCATCAAAGACTTAAAAAGAAGTCAGTTAATGAGATTTTATTGAGTTAATAAAGCGAAAATTGATTGTATTAATCATGAGAAATAATATCAGTAATTATCTTCAGAAGAATATTGAAATATTGTACTTCATGCTATGGTGTTTTTCTTAAAGGGTATGTTAGCATACTGACCTCAGTGTGTCAATGAAGATGTTAGTAACTAGACTTCATTTCAAAGCACGAAACCCTAAAACAAAAGTTATAAACAATAGACGTCATTTCGTATATATATATATATATATATATAAATTAATGAGAAATGTCAGTAAACTCACTGTGTATCAAATCAAATGATTAGTTACATGCTACAGATGTATGTGAAATATAAATGCATCATCACACTCCTACTGGATATTGTGACCACTGATTTAATCTCAGCATAGATATAAAAATATCTTTATTATTTACTTTTTTGCATCATAAATTGAAATATTCATTTATCTATCAGAGAGAAGGAGAAAGTATGCTGCACAGCAATCTTATCTCTCATACTCTACGGCTTTAAGTTATAGCTGATGATGAAAGAGATCTGAAAAGTTTAATGGTATTACGGCAACAGATATTTCTGTCCCTCGGCACATTTAAAGGGGAAATACATGTCAGATAATGTATAGAACAGAAACATAAGGTTGGGTAAGAAAGATAAAATGTTTGGTGATGTAAGGCGGTCTTGAAGTTTTTATGCACACTGTGAATGGCTGGATTAAGATTTAATTTGAAAAAGCTAAGATTAATCAGATCCGAAACAATGACTTAACCCATGAAGTTGTCCACTATTGCTTTGAGACATGGAGAGCCGTCTAGGATGTTCGACAGGAGTCCGGGCAGTCGGTAGGGGTGAGCTCTTGTTGAAATGGTTCAGAAACATTCCCTACGGCTTAGATGTATTTGTTGTTTGCCGTAGTAATTGTCAGTAAGTCCGCCAATCTTCATTTATAAATTTTCCCATTTACAAATAACTCTTCATTATGTAAGCCCTGTTTCCTCTCTCTTCTTTCGCATACTGTTTCACTATGTGGTGAACTGAATAGATGAAATGTCCTACGTTGATTTATTGGTCAGTCAGCATGTGTGTAATAAATAACCCAGTATTAGGTGAAAACAGCCCCTCTTTCCCTGCCAGTCCATAAAACTGTTTTTCGCAGATCTGTTGTCTTCAAAATGTATTGGTTTGGTGGGGATTTTGTTTGATTGAATGGAGGGTTTCATCATGAGCTGATACCAGAAGGTCCTAGGTTCGAACCCCGGTGGGTGCGTACTGATGAAGAGTCCAAAACTAGGACGAAACAGCCGTCCAGTACTCTCAGTTGGCTTTCCAGTGGTTCTATAACTGATATCAGCTAATGATGAAATCCTCCATTCAATCAAGTCTTCAAAATGCTCAGACGTAACTCCTTAGTGGTTGTTAAAGAGGTGTATCTCCTTCCTCAGAAGCTGAGGAAGTTATGTACTATTCGATTTTATCTGGTACCTATGATAGTCTGTATGATAGGCTTATTTCACAGTATTAGAAGACTGATGGTGAAAGTGTACGTTGGATATTGATTCTTTCCCGTATAAAATTTCCTGGATTCATGTCATCTTTAATAAGAAAACTGAGCATCAAGTATTTGGTCGCTGTGGGTCAAGACAAAATGAAAGCACCTAAAGAATGGCTAAGAGATATATGAATATTCGATTACGTTGAGGGTTTATATTTTATCAGGAGGCTGGGTTATGATCCATGCCATGTTACTACTAATGCGTAAGTGTTGTGTTGGCTTAAATATAACCACATTCAGCGGCAGCTATATGTGGGCAAACCTCGAAGTTATGCCACTTTAATGAACATTTTTACATTTTTCTAATTGGCCCAGATTTTTAAATAAATCACATTCAATTGTTCCTCTTTCAAAAGACATCAGATAACTTTATGGAATGCATCTAAAATGTGTATCCTTTTGTAAACTGTGCTACTACTATAGGAAGGAACCACCGATCTCTGCAGATCAAGGCTACAGAACACATTCTAAAGTGACTGCAAGGGCAATTAAAATCACCATATAAATTAATCCTTAAAGTATATCCCCAACACTATTAATCACATAGGACATCACAGAGATGGATCACAAATTTGATTTCAGTAATACCTTTAAACCCATATGTAAGACAGGTTTGTGTCACATACGTAAATCCATTGAAGCTTTGACCATAAAAAGACAAATCTGTTTTATGTGCTCAAAAATTGTTTGTCATTACTTTGAACCTGCCTCCGTAATCCAGTTTTAGGATCAGGGTTTTTTACCTAATAATATTTTCATCCCCTTTTTCTCCTACCTCCATTTTCTTACCTCTTATATGTGACCATGACCTGTAAACATTTTAACCTCTATTGATAAAAATTGTGATCCTTTATGCTTCATTGTCTTCTATGCAAAAATGTATGACTATTTTGTGTGTGTTCAGAATGTCCGAAATGGGTAAATGACCTATTTGTTTTCTGTCTATTTGCTTTATTTTCCGAACTCTGAGAATCCCATTGATATGATTATGAACAATAAATTGTGTTCGAAACGTCATCCAGTATACAATACTGTTTCACTGTGTGATACATTTAATAATCAAACTAATATAGAATCCCATTAGCTTTCCTGTTTTCTTTTGTGTGCTAATACCAACACAAAACTATTTTTCTCCATATGGACATATATACTCTGTCTGCATTAAGAAGGCTTCTAACTTGCAATCTAAAAGTAAAGACCAGTTAGTAAGCAATTCAATCTTAAGGGAAATTTTCCTGCAGCAAAAAAACTTGGGAAGATTTGGAGACTGTTCATGGATAAATACAGAAAATCTGGTAGTAAAGGACTGGGGTGAAACTAGAGGAAAACAAATATCTCACCCTTCTAGTGACCACATTTCAATGTAAAAAAATTTCTCATGACGTCAAGAATAGAATTAGTGACTATACTACAAAAGGCAGAATGCAGATCAGAGTAATGTACTGCACTGGTGATTACAGTTTACAAAAATTTGTTTTCGTCATTTCATCTGTCATATCTTTCGATCTGTTTCAAAATGAAAATCGCATTAATTTTGTCTAGTTTAACTGCTTGCTATTAATAATCTCTTGTCAGCTTGATAGAAATATGTTCCCCTATCGGTTTGTAATGAATACATAATGGTATTGTTTAGACTATAACTAGTTGAAATACACAAAATAGTAAAGACAGTTTCATATTATTCTATTAAAGTGATCTTTATTCAGTGTTTAGATTACTAACTGCAGCTATTCTTTTCACCTCCTATTTGATTTTTTAAATTTTTTCAGTTTTCTAGTTTAGAAGTTTTGTTTGCCCATTTTTTTGGCAAGTCACTCATTCTTAGCCTAAATTGCTCTTGTTTGACTACTAAGATTACATTGGCCTTAACCTTCTTCTGAATCCTTTCATTTGAAATCTATGCAGCTTATGCTTCACAATGCTGAAATAAAGTTACTTTCGAAAATATCTCTGCATGAAAAGGGGATATACTTAAAATTCTTCTACCTTCATAGCTTTGTATTTCTTCCAAAGACATTCACATCTAAATGTATCCGGACACCTTCTGGATGGATTACTGCAGGTTAGAGCAGGGTGTTTTAGTAAACTCGCCAGTTGTTCAGGTTTATCAAGCATTGAAAACTTTGGTGCTTTCACGTTATTACATTTCACTTTGTAAATGGGGGCTCGCTTCAAAGATCTGTGTAATATCTCTCTTGTATTTTTATGTGAAATGACACCTTTTGCTGATATCTTTGAAGTGAAAGTAGTACCGCGAGGCTTAGTTGATTCTTTAAGAAAATTGTGCTTGAGTTGTGTAGACTTACTAGTAGAATCTACTCTTCGTGTTATATCAGTAAAAAATCAACAAGGTTCGAAAAAAGTTGTACTGTTTGTTAAACAGGCAACTGGTATGATTAGACTGGTATGATATAACTGGTTTATAAGAATAAGAATTCCATAATACACTAGCTTCAAATCTCCCAAATAACCCATTGAATACTGAAGTGAAATTATTTTTGAAAACTCTAACAGCTGACCGATGAATAATTGGTGGGACAACTCTATGTATATTGGAAAAACCTGTTATCTGTTTGTTTAAACTGACTAATATTTCTGTTTCCAAAGAAAAGTTGACGAAATTTAACTGTTCCATGGATTGGTTGACCAATTTTAAACAGTGACAATAAACTTTATTTTCAATCATTGAATGAATGTTTATACAAACCAGTGATTGATTGTTCGATTTAACAAGGATCTGTGAGGAATTATAAAACTTATTCATTTTATTTGAATATTTAAATCTTGTATACTCTTCGGTAAGATTCATTGAATTATTACATAATGCACTCAGGATGTGTGGATAATATTTTAGGTGAATCTGTAAGCTCTCACTTGAAGTTTCACTATATTTATAACTTTGATAGGTTACTACTTCTTGACATTATGTCACTCTTAGGTCATTTAGGATTTTTCTTTCTAATGCACACTGAATTTGATGCAAATTATGATAATGACATATATTTCGGCATAATGTTAAAACAGAATTGACTGATGTTGGCTGATGAATAGTTTCATTAAGATAGGTAAGCGAAGGATGAATGATTTGAAGCAACCATTTTTTTGTACCGTCGACAACTGGGATAAACTTTTTACAACTTATGTTGGTTTTATCCTTAATTAAATGTACGATCATATAGATAGGAAAGTAATTTAGACTTATGATTATGTAGTGAAAAGTACATATACGTTCATTTTTTTCATTGGTATCGTCATTTTGCCTATTAGATAAGGTTAAATTTAAGCTGGAACAAGTACCAGATTCAGTATTAGTGAAAGTGTCTTTCTTAACAGCAAAATAATCCTCAGATTTTGAACCAAATGAGGAGGCATTTTCGAAACTTTCTGCCTGATTTTGTTCTGTATCTCCACTCAGGATAACTTGAATTCTGTTCTCTTACCTCTTTAGTAAGATATCATTTAACAGTTCGTCTGTGCATTCCACTATATTGTTATTCATTGTGACCACAGAGGATTCTACTTTATCATCTACTGCTTCATCGTCATTCTCCTCTAGTTCGGAATTCAATGTAATTAAATCACTGACCTCTTCTAAATTAAACAGTGAATTCTTATTCATTTCAGTTAAATTTTCAAATGAATCAGTACTGTTTGTCGCATTCCCATAGTAGTAATACGATTTCGAATATTCAGAATTAAATGACTGTATTCTGTCACTCATTTCAGAATGTTTTTTATAATTAATTTTAAATTGCAATTTCTCTCTCGGATTACTGTGAAGTGTTAAGTGATTTACTGGCTTAACAATAAATAATTCTTCTCTGCTTTTCGCAGAGTTATCATAAACATTTGAATTATTTGTATTCATATGACTTAGACGATGCAAAATGTTGTCCGGTGTGACCGATGGCTGAGATGAATAATTTTTTTTAAATGTACGAATTGTTGGCGTCACTGAAGCTGACTGGTTACTTTGTGTAAAATCAGTTTGATTAGTATAACAGTCTGTTGGATGTATCATCAGTTTTTCATATATTTGTGAAGGTGTAATGCGGACGTCAACATTACCAACGTCGTGTTCCTTGTCATATGTCTTACCCCCACTACTTTCACGACCAGTATAATCATTATTAATGTACAGTTGATTGTTGACTGACTTATACTGTAGTTTTTTCTTGTCCACATCCCATTTTGTTACTGCTTCCTTGATTGTATTCAACTGAGGACCATCAGAATCATCGGAATGTGCGCTTTCAGTAGTATAATTGGTATCGGCAGTACTAGACATATTACAACTAAGATTTAAAAATTCTTCTAAATCAACTGATGAAGACTCATTAATTATAGTGGGTGATTTGGAGATAATAAAAATATCTGTACAAGTGCTTGGATTGACTGCGATAAAATTGAGTTCGCGTTCTCCATCATTATCCTTTTTAAAAATATTTGATGTAGTAATTTTAGTATTATTAGTAGTTATATTTGAAAAACTGTAAATAGGATTATTATTTATTATTTCAGTTTCAGATACACTACTTGTTGTACTATTCCATATCGATGTATACGATGTCCAATTTGCAGTTGGTAATAGGTCGTCTGTGCCAAAGTTTTCATAAGGATTCTTATTATTAACGTATTCATTTTCACTCCAGGTAACCACAGCAGTGTTTGAATTACTCCTCTGCATACTCCTTATGTTCGGTGAATTACAATCATTAGATAAATTATCACAATGTGAATTACAGTCAGTCTCATCGTTATCGTCATCATCATTTACTGTTGTTGGTGATGATATTAAGGTTGAAGTAGGCGAAGTTGATGAATTTCTTGTAGTAACATACTCTGGCATAATTGATATGAGTAAATACTTTGTGGATGCAGAATTTTGCACACTTGATCTAAGTTTCTGTAGTGTATCGTCTAAATTCTTATTTTCTAATCGTAAAACTCTATACACAGGATGACTATTAGAAGTTCGATTCGCATCATTTCGACTACTTTTATTAATTTGTGTTTGTGAACAACTAATGTTTATAGGTGATGAATAAGAAAGTTGTTCTGGACACAATGGACTGAAGTCAACCGAGTGAAAAATCCAAGTAATTGGATAACTTTCAACATATTGATATTCATTAACAAAATTCTCATACTGTTCATAACAAATCTTTTCTTCAAGCAAATAGATTCCATAGCATTTTATCTCTCTTAAATTTCTTGAAAGGTATGTATTACAATCAGTTTCGATATTCACTGCGGCTTTGCTAGTCATGTCGTAGTGATAAAGTAAGGGATTCTCTATTGTTCTACTGACTGATATTTGCTTGTCTAAATCTAATAGTGTTCCTCTAGTCGATGATTTGAATAGTTTACAACTGGTCATACTGGCGGCATTATTTCTGCGATGCCAGTTACAGGTTTTACATCTAGTACATTGTGAACTTACACTGGACTTACTATTTAACTTTAAAAAATTTTCCACAGTTCTAGAATTTCCGAAGTTTGAAGAAAATGATTTATCAAGTCGAAATTTTGGATAAAAACACCAAAAATTCGACTTCCTTTGTTGGTTTAGTCGTCCTAAAGTATTTAATACTAAATTCCGCTGAATTTTGCTAGTTCGAGACTTAATCACGTATTTCTTACGAGAAAGGGAGTGCGAACGTAAACAATTCGTGTAAAGGTTAACCGCATTCTCTATAGAAGAAAACCTACGTGATTTAAATTTGCCATGCCTCGAATCAAGATGAATAATTAATGCCATATGTTTAGATAAAGATGAGTAATTCCCAATTGGGCAACACAGTAATGATTTTCCAGTGGTTTCTGTAGGTACCGAATAATCACTACAAAACTTTTTTTCATTTCCACAATGACGAGTCAATTTTAATGATTTTTGGCATTGACATACTGATGAATTTAATACTGATTGTATTCTCATGTGATTAGCTGCGTAAACATCCCCATCCTTTTTTGGGAAAGAAGTGAACTGTGATGAAATGTTGTCTGAATGTAAGAGACTGTATTTATTATAGTGTTGTTTGTTAGAAGGAAAGTTGTTCACATCATCATTTTTCATTGGTTGTATTATAAAATAAGGTTCATCTATCTTCTCGTGTCTTGCACAGTTCATTGACTCTATAATAAATAACGGTAGAGATAATTTTTTGCTTTCTTTATCACTTAATATCTTACTAACATTTTCATTTAAACAATCCTTACAAGCTGAACAACAAATACCAAATGGATGTATTTTACATTCACCACGAATATTCAGTGAATCCCCGCCAATGTAAATATGATTACTTGGAGTAAATGCATAACTGCAACAAGCTTCGTCAGCAATATCATTATCGTTAGGATTACTTAGTTCACTTTCTGATATTTGACAACTAAAGTCAGAAAGTTTATCGATTACTACGTATTCTAATGAATTTTGTCGAATATTAATGCTTTCATATAAATGTAAGAATGAATAGTTAATATGTTTGTATGTATTTTCATTATTGTAGATATTTTCACTAGGTTGATGGTACACTACACAGCATATAAATATGTAACTCTGGCTTTTGTAATTAATGTACATATTATGATCGTAATGCCCTAGTGTAACTATGGCACATTCTCTTATCATTTTTGTATTGTTTGAATAAAACATATTATAACGGAAGTCATTTTGATAACAGTTAATATTACAATAATCCTCATCATTACAATCATAATACAGCAATCCACTTGTTGTATTTAAATGGTTACTTTTAAAATGGACATTCGAATTTCCCATATTGAAATTTGAATATGAATTTATTAATGTGCGACTTATTATATCTTCGAAATGTTTTGGATATTGTACACATGATATATCTTGGCCTAATTTATTTTCATCACCTGAAAGTATGGCATTTGTTGCATGTGACCTACATTTTGATAAACAACTGAAAGCTGGGCAACCGTATTCTGTCTTTTGTATGCGATTATCAATGCTTTTTATGGCTTTTTCATCATTCTGACAATTGAAAGAATATATAGGTAGTATTGGTTCAACATTTTTAAAATTGGATTTAACTTCATGTTTTCTAACTAAATTCTTCACTAAGCTCTTTAATACTGGCTGTAATTCATTTAGTATCCCTTCGGTACAACTTGAATATGTCATACCATTTTTATTTACCATAGTTACATTTTGTTCTTTAGAAGAAATAACATCTAAATTAGGATCGTAATCATACTCCAGACGAATACGATAGCGATGAGAAGGATTTTTCTGATCAGTTTTATACTTCTGATGTAAATTCCTTATATTTGAGTGGCACAGAGGATTTCCTTGTCGGCGAGATAGTTTGCCTGCATTTGTTTGTTCACTTATTTTTCTGTTTAAAACAAAATGTCCCTTAAATCTTGTAACCTTTTGATTTAATTCATTGACATAACAATTATTATTATTAGGAGTAGCTGTGTAATTACTATCAGGGATAGCCTCAATAATTTGGTTATAATAATGCTGATTCTTTATTTTAGGTGAAGAATATAATTTTCTATTGTTGTTATTTCCATGAAATTCATCTTTCTTATTCCCCATAACACTAGCAGGAGTTAATTTGGACAGATCCATGACATCTGACTCACTGAACAAATTATGAAGTAATTGTAATTAAATGATAATGTGAATCAGAAATTAACTATATACAGTATGTTGTATCATGATTACTACTAATCTAAGTGTTTATATGTATCAACAGATGACATGATTATTTATTTGTTCTTCAGTGTTAAAAGCAGTAGGTTAAACAGTCTTTCGAAATCCATGCAAAATGTATATATATATATATATATATATATATATATATTTAAATATCTGTAAATCAATAAAAGCTCATTACATTTAGTATTTTGGTAATATCATTTATTGAATCCAAAGTTATATTAACAAGTAGGTTTAGGATGTATTGTCGACGACAGCATGAACATCAGAAATAGTTGGGCAGACAAATTCGATAAACAAGCATAAGAGTATGATCTGGAAGATTAGAGGTTTAAGATAATGGATAAGAATAATGATTCGTAATGACTAATCGAGTAATCCTATTAATTATTCTAGAAAACAGAGGGTTGTAATATTTTCAGCAGCAATGTCCAGTTGCAAAGTGTGTAAGTTTCAGAAAACAACCAATTAATCAGATATGTGATATGTGTTACGCTATAAATAGCCAATTAGAAAGAAACGTGATGGCTTCATCATGGGACAGCGGTATGGTCCTGTAGACAAAGGTATTAGTATACCCGGTTTTTAGCCTCTTATTCAGAGTTAAACGCCGGCATCAACCTTAACCAACTGACTGCTGATTAGATGCTGGAGGGGATACCAAAGGCTGGTGTGGAATTTTCCAACTTAAGTGATTAGTGGCACGGATGTGATATCTGGGTATCCATCGAAGGGCTTAGTACTGCGCGGCAGTTCTCTCTGTCCTCTTTCATGGCTGTGAAAAATAGCCCATGAAAGGGGAAAATGTGAAAAGATTAGCTGCCTTTAACTAAGAGAAAAGTCAACTGATGAACTTGTGAAGCTACATCAATTGAGATGGCTAGGACCCGTGTCGCGATTGCAGAGCCACAGTCTTCTTCGATGGGCAATGTTAGCTGAAACAGGGTTGAGCCAAGGGGAGTCAGACTGAAACCTGGCAAAAACCCACAAAGTCTTTGAAAGTTGATCGCTTAGTCTGTGACCATTTCACTTGTATGAACTTGTCTCCTTTAACAATGTATATTCCCCTTATATTATATATAATATGAGTGTTTGTTGACAGTCCGTTGCCTGGTGACATATATCCATATATGGTGGTTGTTGACATGTCTGCTATATTTTGCTATGTATATTTGGATCGACACTCCATTATAATTAGCCATTCATGTTAAGACTGTCTATTGATTTGTTCACACACATTCATATATATTTCGCTCTCACAATTTGTGTGACTGACTTACACTTACTACACTTTGGTGTGATACCACTTTTGCATTCTCCTTGTGTTTGAAAATAGAAGTATCATCGCAAACCTAGTGGTCTTCTGATTTCCGCCTTCTTGCGTTAGGACTATTAGTTTCTCGACCAGTCCATAACAATAATTTAGCGACGAGTACATAACAATTTGGCGACGGGGAAAACTACTATTAACCACTCAGCAGCAGCAACATAACATTTTCACCTCTCTACACCTCTTCGGGTTATAGAAGCTAATCAGATAACATGGTTTTCGGACAAATTTTGGAAATAAAAAACAGCCGATACATACTGAGCATAGAATAAACAATCACTTTGAAATATCAGGCTGAGCTACAATCAGAGCTTGCTAGTAACCCTCCCGGTAACATGGACGAACACTGACTATATCTGGAAGGCAAATGGAGCCATTTAACGACCTAAAAGAATACTCCTCTGAAATCACTGGGTTTCTGCGAGTTCCTTGCAACTCCTGGTTGGATGCTGGTCCATTCTATCCGACATTAAGTACAACAACATGCGAAAAGCGCTTATGCTCAACATTAAACAGTGTTTAGGAAGGGACCGTGAAGCTTGGCGGTCAGAACATATGAGATCAGCAGCTGTATCTGGTAACATCGGAAGCTGTTTCAGCTCATCCAAGCCACCGACAGAAAGAAGAAAGATGACAGTGAGACTGTCTGTGAGACAGGTGGCATGCCAATCACCAGCCTGAAAAGACGCCTGGAACTCTCTGCAGAGAACTTTGAAAAGCAGGTTAGCTGACCATCAGCGCCAGCATCCATAGTCATCAACTGCAGTGCTCTTTGATAGGTCATCACCTTCCCAAAATTTGAAAGCGAGGTCCGAAAGGAACTCCAAGTGATGAAGCGGCATAAGGCACAAGACCCAGACAATCTACCCCCGGCTCGTTTTTAAAGATGGTGAAGAGATTGTGGTTATGGATTTGACCGGATTGTTCAGGAAATTATGGGAAAGTGAGGATGGTCTAACAATGTGGATTGAAGCTATCATCCTTCCCATAGGGGGATTAGTCTGCTACCAGTTTCGTGAAGAATACTGTCTGCTCTCTTGCCTCGCATCCTATGAGAAGAACGTGAGGAGTTGATTCGTGGAGAGCGGGCTGTGTCCCGTTCAGATCGTGTCCACTCTTCATCAGTTGTTCTAATGCTGTCATACGTATTGTAGGTCAACGGTCATTGTGTTTCTTAATATTAGGGCCTCCTTCGGCTCGTTGGACAGAACTTCTCTGTGGAACTGTCTGTTAGAGAGGGGTTTGTCTGACGATTTTGTTAATATACATAAGGAAATACCTTAGGTAGATTGAAGGCATACAACTAGTTATCATCATTATTGCCAAGCAACAGTGGGGATAGACATAGTTGCCCGATCTCTCCATTCCTCTTTAACTTTGCATTCAACGACATTCTGAAGTCAGCTCTGAAGGATATGTGTGAAGGTCGTATAGATCTGCTCCCTGGAGATAGACTTTTCTACCTCAAGTGTGCAGAAGATATTGTCTTATTGTGCGACAGCATGCAGGCTACCAAAGTAGCACAATCAGTTGGTGATCAGTGTCCGAAAGTATGGTATGCGTTTCGCCTATCTAGGGAGAAAGTGCTGTTACAAGATTGGCAAGTGCTTGGACCTGCATTCACTCTTGCAGGTGAACCGCTTGAAGTTGTCGATAAGTTCGTATGTCTGGGCAGTTTTATGAACCTTGCAGTAGGTGTGACAGGCGAGATGTGCATCGGTGGCACAGTGGTTAGGACTCTCGCTGACCATGCACATGGCCCGAGGTTCGAGCCCTCGCCGACGCACACCTGATATCTATGGTCGGCCTGCGAATTTTGGGCTACCGATATCCACGCTGAAAATTCCATACTTGTACCAAAAATACGGTGTGGAATCAAGCTGTAATAAAAAATAAAATAGATTTCCAAGCGTATCATGAAAGCTGGGTTGCATACGCTCCAGAGCAATCACGACGTCAACCTGGCTGTCAAATGTCAGGCTGAAAGTGCTTCAGTACCAGCAGACTTGCTCTACGCTTGTGGAACCTGGCCTCTCCGGGTGGGCTGAGAATGTGCAGTAAATCCGAGTATTCAACCATTGCTGTCTTCGTAGAATCCCTTGCGTTCGATAGCATCATCATATGAACAACTCTGAGGTCCGGCGGCGTGTGTTTGGAAACAGTGAAGATCATCATTCATTAAGTGTCGTTATTTGGAACCACCAACTTCGGTGGCTTGAACATGTGCTAAAAATGTCATCCCAGAGGCTCCTGTACCGGCATCCGTTCGCTGTCCCTGGGAGGGAATGGAAAAGGTGGAGTGGTCAGCCCATGAAGCGACATCGCAGAATGAAGGGTATTTCTGTTAGGCTAGCATCAGTTGGTGTGTCACGACTCTATGGTTGGGGTCCGACAGATAGATGGAGTCGGTTGCTCGAAACGTTTTCGAATATGGCCAAGAATCACAATCAATGGTGAACGTGTTGCTATTTCCTACTCTCTTCCCTTTCTGACAGAAATTCGTCAAATGTTGTTTGGAAAACAGAAAGATTGAACAAAGAAATATTTACTTTTCAATTAGATCCTCATCTCTGGTTCTATTCTAATATGTAGCATTTTTATTACAATAAGTTGTTCTAAGTGACAGAGACAATGTTGAGCGCAAAACCTGTGACATGCTTTGTTGTGAATAACACAATTTTGTCTCTTTTATTTCTCTCTTATTTGTATTCTATAGTGAACACCTACTTAAACATACTTAGCTACCTAAATTAATAACATTGGCTTACTTTTTTATACTTTACTCTATTCCCTCTTTTGTGTATCTACTCGTTCCGACTATTTTAGCACTATGAGTATTACAAAAATTGTCCTGTCATTAACCTTCATGTAATATTAGTTATGTGGTTGTTTTTTGTTCGGCAATATTGACTGACAATCTTGGTTGTGAACGCTATTATCACCATCTTAAAAATTTTTTATTATGACGGATTACTCACACTACCACTACAAACACCGTATTAGAGCTGACAATAAAAAACTCGAAATGTTTATTTTATGATTGTTTAGTGTTGTTCTATCAAATTAACTGATCATCATGGCGATAAACATTCTTAATATCATTTCATAACTTCTAGTATGATTATAGTTTTACTGTTCACCACGCATAAACATATCATAGCTTCCACTACCAAATACTGAGATATTATTTATTATGCTGTTTATTTTCCAATCTACTTCTTGGTATCATTTTTTGCTATTTTGTTTTTTCTGTTGTTTTTTATACTTATTTTTTTAAATACACCTTTTAAGTGTTTGATAAAATTAGATGTAATATTGTAGATAAGTGCTGAAAATTCCACACTGTACCACTAGTACTGTTTCTGGAATAAAACAAAATATTATTATTATTATACACAACAGTTCACCAATCAAGTGGCGATATGTTTGTTAACAATAATGCTGTATATTAGAGTAGAGCCAGAGATGAAGATCTAATTGAAAAGTAAATATCTCTTCGCTCAATCTTTCTGCTTTCTAAATGTCTAAATGGTTTTTTTTTCTATATTGAAATGTTGTTTGGTCTTGTCAAGTATAGCTTCTTCCTTTCCAGACGACATCCTTTATTCATTTTCTCTCCATTTTCTTCAAATACTGTTGTTTCATTATTGTTGTCTGGCGCATCTTCTCAGTGACTACGTCTCACCGACTTCTGTGTTTTAAACACATAAATGATAATCCAGAAACAAGGATAAACTGCATAATTTCGTCTCATCTACTTGTATCCACCAATCGGACTTCTCCCGGGCAGTTAGTTATATTGGGGTTCATCATCGGATTTCCGAACATCACTCAGCATGATTTCGTAAGGGACAAACGAGATTTATTCGTAGCTCTGTTTCAGCACACCTTGTAGATAGTCACCTAAAAGTTGATGCCAATAAAGCATTTGGACTTATGCATCCCATTTCGACTGATATTAACTGTGGTTACGTCTTCGTCTCTTACACAAAGGTGAAGCCATCGGGACCCACCTTAAGAGGCCAGACCAGTGTTCTCGGAGGAAATTAGTTAGCCACATTCCCTACTTCAACTATCAATACACGGGTGCAAAACAGGACAAATTCTTCTCCCTCTAAACCTTTTACAATTTACCATCGTATAAACTATTTTGAATACTGCGCTTTGAATTGCTTATTACCCAACCAACTTGGACACTCCTTTATTTTGTAATTACGCCCCCCGCTTATTTTACCAAAATTATAATGTGTTGTAATCTACTTGTTTAATTCTGAAACTTATGTCTACCCTTTAGTTGTCGCACTAATTTTAGTGGTTAACTATCACCCTTTTGACACTTTGATTCTGACTAATTACTGTTAGCATACTTATTACTCGTCGTATTTCCCATCTGATTATAATTAATCAATAACACTCGTATCGCTGCCACCAGTCAAATCAGAAGAGAATAATAAATGATCTCAAAATTCTATTTGAATTCGAACACATCACAACATTCTAACAAGTAGCTTATTACGACTGTAAAAACACTCGTCTTATTGACCAATAACACTCGTATTATTATTTCTGAATGTACATTATCTCATACTGATTTTTAATCCAATATCTAATCGATTCCACACATGTATATAAATGAAGGAAAACAGTTGTGTGAGTAACTCCATAGGATTATGAGTGGCAATAGTTTGTGCTCAAAATGTGGTCATCAGTTAACATTACTGTACAATATAGAATCTTATCCATAATAGAGTTATACTCTACCACCGTGCCCAAGTATTGTAATGAGTATGATTATGAGCAATAATTTGGGGTCGAAACGTCATCAGTTAATATAACTGTACAACACTGTGATTTATCAAAATAAAATCTTATTCATAATGGAGTTATCACTAGTAGATTTGTGATTTTTTGTATATATGCGTTAGAGTTACGGGTGGGGATCTAATCAGAATGTAAATATTTCTTAATGTCTTCTAAATTTGGATTCTTACGTACTATATTAGCTCCACAGAATCCAGTAATCAGTAAAGCTTGTTTATAAGCAAGCCTAAGTGCCACTTTTATTCCCAGCTCGTTAAGAATTCAACGTAAGGTTTTAGATGCCCTCTTTGCATGGGAGCAACTACAGGTATTTTGAATCCTCTCTTCCTTGCCGTCATTTTCCGGTATGTCGCTTATCCATGTCATCCTCATAATTCGTTTTATTCTTATAACCTCCTAATTAATTTATTAGCATAATTATTAAGTGCCGAAGCTTCTCTTATATTTTGCTTTCTCTTTCTCTTTCGTACTATATTTAACAGTCCCAAGCTATCAGTCAAACACTCCTTTAATCCTACTTTTACTGTGGAAAGGTGAGTCTGTGAAAGAATTCACTTCTGTCTTCCGATTGGAAATAAGGATTTCAGACTGTGAAGTTTCAGCTGCGGTGGCGTTGTTAGCCTCAAGTCCAACTCTTTGGCCTTAATGTCGGCTAGTAAACTAGGCAGGATTTAAGTGTTGGTCGGGAATCTAACCCTACATCCCACATGACTGGACAGTATCCTGCTACAGAATGTGTACGTGGAGTACAGCAAACGAATGTGAGGAATCATAAAGATACGAAGTACATATATATTGTTTAAACCTGTGTTAAGCGAACCAGAAACACAGTAATATTTAGTGCAGGAAATACCGCCTCCTAATTCTATATACTGATGATAAATGAGTCAAAACTCGAACACTAATTTACTAAAACAGGTTTTTAGTTGAGAAAACAGACAACGGAGGACTTGGCAGCCTCACCCTCTGAAACATCTCGTACTAGATATAATAATAATGGCATGGTAGACAAGAAAAGAAAACTGACTGACTGGTTTCAACACAGAACTTTGCACCGATATGCAACAGTTCGAGTTTTCACACTTCACTCAGCACACAAAACCAGAAAAGAAAGTGAAATGAAAAGCACAATAGAGACAGTAAACAGAAGTGTGAGGCAAAAAGAATAGTATTATCGAAGAACAGCATAGTGTCATTGGGTATTACAAGTCACAAGGAGTGGATGCATCTGCGCCATTGAGAACGAGTTTGAGCCATGTCACCAGTTGCCTCCAGCCATCGGTGTTCACCGTCCCAACGACTCCAACTAGGAAGTCTTCACCTTCCTACGTGGCTTAGACTAACTGTTGTAGATTTCATTGACTGGTGCCATGTTTTGGTTTGACCGCCGCTAGCTCTTTTCCAACCTGACCCTATATCAGCTAACATTGCCCGTCGAGGAAGGTGATGACTGGGCATACGTAACACATGTCCTAACCATCTCAGTCGATGTAAATTCAAAGCCTCGTCGATTGATTTCCCCTGTTTACCTAGAACTCGACGACTAACCTCAATATTGTTCAACTTATTATGCCACTTCACACGGGAGATAGAGCGCAGGCACCTATGATCAAAGACAGCTAATCTTTTCATGTCTCCCACTTTCAATGGTCATGTCTCAAATCCAGACAGAAAGGAGGACGGAGAGGATCGCTCAGCAGTACATACACCCTTTGGTCGAGAGCCAGCTGGATATCACAACGCCAGAAAGCGTAAACTGGCATATGTGAAACGAGCCTTCTGTATATATGCTGAGATTTCGTCAGCGAACAACCCTCTTGCGTTGTCTGATGCAACTTCCCAAATAAGTGAAGTGGTCAATACGCCCCACCACATCACTCCCTATTTCTAGACTAGGAGCCAATCTAGTTCAGTCCTGTAGCGTCATGTTATATTTAGCGGGAGAGAACCACATGCCAAACATCCGCAGATTGTAGCTCAAGGTGTTCAGAAGACTATGCATTTTGTCAGCGACTTCACGTAGGAGGACTATATCATCTGCATACCTCGAGTCAACGAAATTATTCCCTGGTGGTAACAGGTCAATCCTGAGTCACTGAAGCCAGTCAGGGTTAAGTCCATTAGTACATCTATCATGAAACTAAACAGAAGTGAGGAAAGTGGGCATCCCTCACGGACACCACTTCACATGACAACTTTCGGTAGGCTCTCACCTGGCTGACTACATGATTTCGAGTACAGCGCTTTGGTCAGTACGATGTATTTACTCGGCATTCCCTTCACAGCCAAACACCGCCATAGTAATTGCAGGTCAAAGAAGTCGAATGCCGAACAAAGAAAATGACCGATATTTGAAAAGCATTTTACTAGGAATTTCAATATCCACGAGACACTCATTAAAATTCGTGAGAAACTAATTCTCGTATTGCCTACCTTCATCCGTTATCATGAAATGAACAAATCTCAAGTGGACAGTGTTACACTTCAACATTGTAAAACTACTTTTCTCGCTTTAAGCATAAAAATCGCGCATGCAAACTCAGAGACACTTGAGTTTCCTAAGTTATCTCTCAACAGCATCCACCTGATCACAACAGCTCACTTCGACTACTCGTTTGGTTCTTAATTTGTTGCAGAAGCTGACAAATACAATGCCTTTCATGAATCACCCCAACATGCTTAAGACCTCCCACCTATTTCTTGATTTCAAAAAACACTGATATGAGGATATACACATGTGTATTTTTATAAAAGTTCAATTTTCGTCAAAGTCGTACATAAAACCGACAACATTTACACATTCTGAAATGACAACATAAAATAATCACATATTTATACATCTATTTATTTTTATTTAGGCAACTGTAGTGATCCTTGTTCGGCCAACATTGACTTGCCACACATTTAGATTTTCGTAGGCTTCGATAACCTCGTTAAGCTAAAATAAAAAAAAATAATAAAAATCCTCATTGTGCACCAAGAATACAAACTACTGATTTGATAGAGAAAATAGGAAAGCAGATAGTACTGATAAGTGCCGACCCATAAGTTCAGCAAAAATGTGTGTTCATCGAGTACAAAATAATCCAGAGAATGACAAGTTAACAATTGAAAGAAACCTTTTTATACTTCCAGTTTGATATTAAAACCCTATTTCATGAAATATACCACTTGTATCTATATAATTAACCCAAGTGAAATGATCACGGTCATAACTTTACATTTGAACAACTACTGCTTCGGTGTGATAACAAACGTGCTATCGCAAATACCATACATTCTTTATCTCCCAAAAACATTAACTAAAGACTTGCTCTTCACCATGTATAATTAGTCTTCGCATACTTTTCCATTGGTATTGTTAATTTGCACTTTTCCTATCCTTATGCGCTTTTATGGAGTGCTGCAACTTAAACGGATACACTTGTGCAAAATTTGAAATTCATTTGAAATTACCGCGCTAACAGTAAAAAGTACACTTTATAGAGTACATTTAACGTCAATCGTAAAATTTCCCGAAAATAGTGAGTAGAACAACTAAAAAGGCAAAAGATTCAGGTATTTAACCACATTACATTCCTATGGAAACCAAGCCAATCTCAAGTATTATATTTTCTGTCTAACTAGGTATAACTAGAGGTTAGGACGCTCGCTGACCATGCACATGGTTCGGGTTTTAATCCGCGGGCGACGCACACCTGATATCAAATGGTCGACCTGCTAAATTCGGACTACCGATGTCACATGCTGAAAATTCCATACTTACACCAAATACTGTGTGGAATTAAGCTATAAATAAAAATTAATTATATACAAAGCAAATTATCTGATAAAGCTATTCACACGCCAAAGCTTTGTGTTTACATTAGATAACCTAAAACGTGTTTACTATCAACAGTATACAACAAAAATTTTTACCTGAGTTGGTGTATATCCCTTAGTTGCGCAACGTTCTATGATATCGGCTATTCGAGCTGTACCATCGCCTGCTGCAGTTAATTCACGGACAATGTTGTAAATAACATCTTTGTAAGATTGGGGGCTGTGGAGAACAAAATGAAAAACCTACTTATTAATAAACTGCTTTGTGTATAGAGTATAGAAATACACCTAGTTAACTAAAAGAAACATATTACCAAGTGCAAAATCATAGCAGAACATGGAATAATACTCTTGTAGTTCGTACAGAACAAAAAAATAATAAATCAACCTCGTGAAACTTACCGGCCTGACCGACTGGCATCTTCGTAAGGTGAAGTGAGTATTGATGAACGACTAGCTTCCATAAGACGCATCGCCTCATCAATATCACCTTTACTGACTTCTGATGCCGCGCGGAGTCGAGCACGGGCTGTGGACAATCTCATTATTGCCAATAGAGTCCTACAATATATATGTTAAAAGAAAACTGTGAATGTTAGGCAAAATATGTGGAGTGATGAACAATATTAAAACCCCTTATAATCACGTCAGATCACGAACTAACATCAGTTAGAAAAACCAGTTTACACCAAGGAATACTGAATAATTGTTTCTTCTCAATTTGGGGCAACTGTTCCCTACTGCCCTGGTATTTGGTGGGTTCTCTAACTGAACTCAGTTTGTGATCTGACTTGAAAACAATGAAATCCATGCAATCCAACACTTGAAAAGGTTGTTTAGTTAGGAATTAGCCGACTAAGAACTTGTTTAAAAAGTGACCCAAGTAGTCTACTTCGCGTCATATTACGAAGCCTATGTTACAGAGACGCTAAGTTTAAAAGTATGACCGTTTTCTAATCCCAATACAAGCATAATGGATGGTGTTGGTATGAATTACACCACTTCTCGCTGATATTTAAATATATATTAGCTAAACACAGCTGGTGACGACTAGTGGTGTTCGTCAAGGATGTCCATTATCCCCTTTTCTATTCAACTTCATCATAAATGTACTAATGGACTTAACCCTAAGTGACTTCAGCGACTCAGGGATTGACTTGATACCAGGGAATAATTTCGTTGACTTAGAATATGCAGACGGTATAGTCCTTCTAGCCGAGGACGCTGACAAAATGCAGAGTCTTCTAGACACCTTGAGCAGCCATATACGAATGTTTGGCATGCGATTCGCTCCTGCCAAATGCAAGATGATGTTACAAGACTGGACTACACCGACTCCTAGATTAGAAATAGGGAGTGAAGTGGTAGAGTACGTTGACCGCTTCACTTATTTGGGAAGTATCATCAACCCCAACGGGTTGATCTCTGACGAAATCTCAGCACGAGTACAGAGGGCTCGTTCCGCATTTACCAGTTTACGTCGTCTCTGGCGTAGACGAGATATCCGACTATCAACCAAAGGGCGGGTGTACTGCTCATCAGTCCGCTCTGTCCTCCTTTATGGCTGTGAGCGATTCCTGGCCATTCAGAGTGGAAGACATGAAAAGATTAGCTGTCTTTGATCATAGGTGCCTGCGCTCTATCTCCCGTGTGAAGTGGCATAATAAGTTGAACAATATTGAGGTTAGTCGTCGAGTTCTAGGTAAACAGGGGAAATCAATCGACGAGGCTTTGAATTTACATCGACTGAGATGGTTAGGACATGTGTTACGTATGCCCAGTCATCACCTTCCTCGACGGGCAATGTTAGCTGATATAGGGTCAGGTTGGAAAAGAGCTAGCGGCGGTCAAACCAAAACATGGCACCAGTCAATGAAATCTACAACAGTTAGTCTAAGCCACGTAGGAAGGTGAAGACTTCCTAGTTGGAGTCGTTGGGACGGTGAACACCGATGGCTGGAGGCAACTGGTGACATGGCTCAAACTCGTTCTCAATGGCGCAGATGCATCCACTCCTTGTGACTTGTAATACCCAATGACACTATGCTGTTCTTCGATAATACTATTCTTTTTGCCTCACACTTCTGTTTACTGTCTCTATTGTGCTTTTCATTTTACTTTCTTATCTTGCTTTGTGTGCGACAAGGAGGGAGTGTGGCGACTTGAACTGCCGCATATATGTGCAGAGTTCTATGTCGAAAACAGACAGAAACACAGCTTACAACATAGCTCTACTCTTTCTGTTTTGTTTCTGCAATAAGTAGAAATCATACTTACCTAGCACTAGTATAGGTCATTTCTTTGTTTGCACGTGCTTCTTTGCGCATTTCTACGTACGCACCAACCAGATAGTCTGCTAAATATGCAGGAACAGCTGGAGGGGGTTGAGCTTTAGCAACTGCAATTAGACGTCTCAGCTCAACGAGTGACAGCAGCTGCTGTGGAAATAAATTAGAATCCGCTTGCGAATCTACTATCGATGGGGCACATCCATGCATATGTACATGAGTGATGTGTTGTGCCAACCGAAGATCATGCTCCCTAGGCAACAAAACGAAAATTGGTACATAATCTTTAGTGTGCATATTAGGAAATAACACATGCATAGACACCGAACACAATTCAAAAGAAGTTTCTCTACAAATAGGCTGGCATCAAATTGGGAAACGTCAGCAAAGTCCAAATTGCTTATATAGATAAACCAAAGATATCGTTTTACTAGCAGTCGCTACTCCAGCTGACGAATACGACAAAGATCAGTTCAAACTGACCAATTTTCAAGATCAAAACAGGTCAACTGAAACGATGTAACAGTATATAAAAGCACAAACAGATATAAGTGGGATGTCAAGAACAACAAAATGACTACTATTGACGTACCTAAAAGTCTGATAAATCAAAACTAGTGAATACATCTGTCATAGGGAACATTGAAGTCTCAAACCACTAATTCGTAGTATCTCAGATGTTACGATCGGACAAAGACGTCTTTCCCTTGGCGATAAGTGTACAATAAGTGTGTATTAATCGCTTTCACGTTTAGGTCTGACGACCAAAAGCTTCTCACAGCTAATCCCACTTTAGCAATTATTGCTCGTTGAGGAGGGTATTGGGAAATCAATAATGGAATAATAAAATCAAAAGCAACAATCGAATCATATTAAAAGGCACTCAAGTTAAACTTCATAAGAAATTAAACCAACTAAAAATCCCTACACCAGAGTTCTATGTCAATGCAGCAAACCATTTTAATAGATAAAAACGAGAATACTTACCGTTCGGGTTTATCTTGTATTAACCACAACAAGTCAAAACGTGAAAGCAGAGCTGCAGGTAGATCTACATTCTGCTCCACAGTTCTGTTAGGGTTGTAGCGTCCATATGCTGGATTAGCAGCTGCCAGGATAGCAACTCGTGCATTCAATGTTGTGAGTATACCAGCTTTTGCAATGCTAATAGTTTGTTGTTCCATAACTTCGTGTATAGAAGTGCTGCAAAAAATGTACGGAAATTTAGATAGATATACAAGGTTAACCGAATCATTTATGGTACATCCGAAACTCAAGAATTAGCTACTAGTGTGAATGGATATTTTTCGGTAATCCCTTTTTACGACTTATTACTTTATTTTGTATCAACGCATGACTAGCTAATGAAGTGGAATCGTGGAATGAAGGGTATTCCCATTAGGTTATTATCTGCTGATAGCGTCGTCAGCCTGTGAGGTAAAGTCCAAGAGAGAAGACTAAGTATTTCAGAGCTACCAAAAATGACCCCGCATTGGTCTTAATGATGAGTACGTTGCTGGTTTCTTCTATCTTCTACATGAAGTGAACGCTCCTTCGAAAGTACTTCAAGAACACGCTTACATGTTCCCACCTCATGCTCAACTACTCAGTCTCCATTTCCCTAAAATGTAGAATTTTCCGCAACACGCATCTGTTGGTACCTAAATGATTGGTTTCAACGTAGAACTTTGCACAGAAGTGCAGCAGTTAAAGTTGCCAAACTCTGTGAAGCACACAAAGGAAAAGAGTTTTGAAAGTACGATAATAGACAGGAATGTGAAGGGAAACAATAGTAACAGAAAAATAATAGGTTTTTCGAACATGTCAAATCAAAGAGGGTGAATGCATTTGCGCTATTCAGTACGATTTTAGGCCGTATCACTAGTAGTCTACAGCCATTGATGCTTAGAGTCCCCAGGACCCCAACCACTTAACACCTACCTACGTGGCTCAAACTAACTGTACAAGATTTCACGGACTGATGCCGTTTTTGATTTTACCACCACTAGCTCCTCCACAACCTAATCCTACGTCAGCTAACATTGCACGCCGAAGAAGGCGATGGCTAGCCATGAGTAACACTTTGTCGATGTATCTTCACAACCTCTTCGTACACCGATAGCGTACGAATAAATTAATGGTTTCTGTGACAAAGATGATAAATGGTTAAGAAACTATCAATATGGTTAAGAAAATCAAGAATATTTGCACTGGAGACAAGGACTATGAGAGCCAAATCTGTAGGTCACAAGACTGGACCTTAGTAAATCCTGACCGAGACAACATCAATGGAAATGTTAAAGGCCTTACTTATATGGCGTTATACAAGCCACAATAGACGGTCGACGAACCACAGTAAGGCTAGGATTAGGTATTTAATTATGGGATAAGTGTGACACGAAACTGACAAACAAGATCACTAATGTATGGAGGTTGGATACTCAGGATTTCTAATATGTGGGTTCACTCCAAAAGTGCTCGTAAAGATGTAATCTTGAGCTTTCATGGTGATATCATTTTTTTAAGTCAATTAGGTTCAGCCTTCAATTTAATGAGATAAGAGAAATTGAAAATAAATGGCAGTCAAGATATTACAGAGTCTGGCAACAGGAACTGACGGTCTTTGCACATTAACGAAGACACAGAGATTTCGAGTTATTTCGTCAAGTGACGACATGAGCTAACCTCACACTCTAATTCTTAATGACCCGTTCATTGTTAAAAATACACGACTTTCTTACACGTGACTTTAGTCTACGGACGGACACCAGGATTCTCAATGATAGAGTATAAGCACACACTCACCGGTCAAATTCAGTCATTTTATCGAATTCGTCAATACAACATACACCTTGATCGGCCAATACTAAAGCTCCACCTTCCAGAGTCATCTCACCTAGGAAATTACAAGAGTGAAGAAACCAGAATGAATCATTAAGCAACTGTAGGATTAAAAATGACTATAGCATAACACAGGCAAGTACAACGTAACATACCTGTTAGGGGATCCTTCATGACTGAAGCTGTCAAACCGACACCAGAACTACCACGACCTGTTGTATATTGCGACCTTGGGCTGAGGCGATCGACAAAACCTAGCAACTGAGACTTTGCGACTCCCGGATCCCCCATTAAACATATGTTTAAATTCCCTCTAATACGAAGTCCTTCTTTTGGTGCTAACTCTACTCCGCCAACCAACAGTAGAAGCAAGGCTTTCTTAACATCTTCATGACCATATATTTCCGGGGCAAGCGATTGTGCCATCAGAGAGTAAAAATCGAGATCTGTGAAAAATAACCGTTGAAATTTATTGGAAAAATCAAATAAACAATTAGCTTAATACAAACGAAGACTAATATAAAACCAACTTCTGCTGACCTTCAAAGACAAGACTAGTTACTACTGAGACAGAAATCATATATTGTAATCTGTCTGTCTGTCTGGATTCAACATAGAACTTGGCACCGAAGTGCAGCAGTTCGAGTTGCCACGTTCCAAATAGCACACAGAGGTAGACAAGAAGATGAGTGAAGAGAATCAATAGAGTTTGACAAGTATAAGAGTGAAACAGAATGGGTAATGGTAGAAAGGAATATGAAAGATTACAGAGACTGAATACATCTGCGCCATTGACAACGATTTTGAGCCATGTCACCTATTGTCTCCAGCCATTGATTCCTAGAGTCCCGAGGGCCCCAACCCGGGAGTCTGCATCTCCCTACCTGACTCAGTTTAACTGTCAAGGATTTCATGGATTGATGCCATGTTTTTGTTTGGCCACCACTGGCTCTTTTCCAACCTGCACCTATATCAGCTAGCAATGCCCGTCGGGGGAGGCGGTGGTTAGGCATGCGCAGCACGTGACCTAGCCATCTTAGTCTATGTAACTTTATAGCCTCGTCGATTGATTTTCCCTCTTTGCCCAACACTCTACGCCTAACGTCAACATTACTTACCTTATTAAACCACCTAACGTGAGACAGAGATCGCAGACATCTATGATCGAAAGCAGTCAACCTTTTCATGTCTTCAACGCGTATTGGCCATGTTTCAGAGCCATAGAGAAGGACGGAGCGAACTGATGAGCAGTACACACGTCCCTTGGTTGATAACCGGATGTCACGCCTACGCCAGAGATGGTGTAAGTCAGCGAAAGCAGCTCGAGCTTTTCGGATCCGTGCTGAGATTTCATCGCCAATCAGTCCGTTGGTGCTAATACAACTTCCCAAATAGGTGAAGTGGTCAACATGTTCTATCACTTCACTCCCTATCACTAAGTTAGGAGTTGACGTGGTCCAGTCCTGTAGCAGCATCTTACATTTTGTAGGGGCGAATCGCATGCCAAACATACGAAGATTGCTGCTCAAGGTGTTCAGAAGACTCTGCATTTTGTCAGCATCCTCCCCTAACAGGACTATGTCATCTGCATATTCTAAGTCCATAAGACTATTCCCTGGTAACAAGTCGATTCCTAAGTCATTACGTTCAGTTAAGGATACTTCCATCAGCATATCTATGATGAAGTTAAACAGAAATGGGGAAAGTGGACATCCCTGTCGGACACCACTGGTTGTTACCAATTCAGATGACAATTCCCCATAAGCCCTTACACGACTACGTGAGTTTGAATAGAGTGCCTTGATTAGTGCAATGTACTTTCTTGGCACTCCCTTCACAGTCAGACATTGCCATAGTACCTTTCGATCCACGGAGTCGAAGGCCGCCTTCAAGTCAAGAAATATGACAATTGTTGGACGCCGAAAAGTGTGTCTATGTTCTAGAATCTGTCGAAGAGTGAAGATATGATCTATGCACCCTCTACCTGGTCTAAAGCCTGCTTGATTTTCCCTTGTCTGTTCCTCCCGAGTTCTGCTTAGTCTATGCATGATTACTGAGCCTAGGATTTTAGAGACTATGTTCGTTAGGCTGATCCCCCTATGATTATCACACGAGGACTTGTTTCCCTTCTTGAATATCGGTATAATAAGTATATATTGTAATAGCGTGAATAATGATTAGGTACAGATTATTGTATGGATATGAAGGAAATCAGTTTGGCTTTTATGAAATAACGTACCGCGTAAGCGATCCACTTCTTCTTCACTTGGTTCGTTTGCATCTGATACGTCGTCTGTCTTGCTTAACAACTGAACACTATGTGCTTCTAGGTAGGTGTCAGTCAGTAGACCTCCAGAAGCAGCGTTTATTGAGACAGAAGCCTGGTTTGATCTCCCACCACCAGAAAAACTTGCACCACGTAGACTTGGCAAGAAAACACCCGTAATGAGAACGTGGTCACCAGGTTGAGCTGCTCGAGTATTTTCACCACGGAGATAAACGGTCAAACCACGAGGTATATGACCAACAGGTACCTGTCAAAGTTCAGATTACATCAATTCATTATGACAACTGTGATACCCAGTCCCCACAACCAGGGAAGCCAAACAATCTAGAAAAACATATTTTTGACTTAATCTGGAATTCACTTATAATAACTACGTCAACGTAACAGGTGAATTTCAGTTACAATGTTGAGCAATATCCCGTATCTTTCAAATCATGTCAAATTTCTTGTTAGGAAATTAGGTTCTAGCAAAAATCTTATTGTTAGACAATAAAAGCTATTTTCAGCCCGAAAAGCCAATTCATTTTTGTTCGCTCATTTGAATTTTCAAAGCCGCACTAAAAGTGAGACGTCTATTATCCCCCCCCAAAAAAAATTTTTTTTCACCTGCTTAAACACGCTGCTTACGAACAAAATGCTTCTCATCACAATGACACGACATAAGACGCATTTATATCATCTAGAACCCAGGTAAGTTGATGACTTTTACACTTGTGTTAGATATAATTCTCTAGCACACATTTTAGTCACTTACGTCTATCAAAAAGAATCAGAAAAACTTGTGGTAACTGCAGAACTGGCTTGGTATGCTCTCTGATTTATGAACATATCAAAATCAAAAGCCTGCTTCGAGCATTGAACAGATTACTTGGGGAACATCTATAATTTTCACGCTTGGCAAAGGGGATGGCAAAAACAAAAGTATCGAAGATCAAGAGTACCTATTCCTTCACACGAAAACTACAGGTCGACTCATCTAAGTATTTATTTGATTGACACCACCCAATTTGACGGAGGATTAACAGTGAGCTTTAGAAGACATTGGTGCTAATCCGATTTCCGCTCTTAGTAGGTGGATAGTTATAGGGCGAAAAATCCCACATATTTCGGGCCGGAATATCAATGTCGATAAAACAGCGAGATCAGTCACTCTCCCTGATCAGTGCGCCGACTGGGAGCTGCTAAGGCGAGATGGAAATACACTGCCCTTGACAGCCAGTAATGAACAGTTTCTCTCGATGAGCTCAGGTTCGAGTAGCAAGCAAGGTAAATACTTACTTGATCAGATAATTCTTGAATACGAATCTCTTGGAACTTCAAGAATTTAGATCCTCGGGTTTGCATATGCAGTCGACCACCACCGCCAGATCCAGCATTTTTACATGCTGCAGTCCCACAAATAGTAAGAGGCATGAACGTGGGATTGTTTATTTCCTAGAAAAGAAATCCGAATACAGGTAACAATAAAACTCCATAATTGTACTATCTTCTTAGTATATTACAAATGATATTGACTCAAAAAGCTAAGACATTAGCAGCTTTTCTCATTGGAGGATTACAATCGAATGAACTAATATACCTATGCTACAAGAATATGCTACTCAGATACTTCCCTAACTAAAATGATCGTAAACCGCAAAACACTTTACAGACAGAAAAATAAGGTACTATTTTAAATCACTTAAACGTCACCTTATTCACATGTCCAAATATATTGACTTTCATCAAACATACACGAAACTAATCCAAAGGTACCCTCTAACAGAACGACAAAATCTCAGAAATCAGGTGCTCCTATGACCTTTACCCTGCATGACTTAAACTAGGATGTTGAGAGCTAATTATGCACTCAAGCACTTACTACTCTTCGGAAGTTGTGACGTTTTCGAAATGAGATGATGACAATTTGAAACTGACTGGCTGCAACATAGATTGTTACTCAAAATCACTGAATGTCGGCATTAATTACATTAGAAATAAGTACACTGAAACGATTACTGAAAATGCACTGCTTAATCATGTAGCACTTTTGCATATACTAGCGACGAAAGCTTCCACAAATGGCCAGGAAATAACCAACGTACCTGATACGTTTCCGCTCCACAATGATCACAGGTGTATGTGGCTGTTGTTATAAGCGGTTTAACTTCAGTTGCACGCGTCACGACACCTCGTACTTGAATAAGATTTCCAATACTTGAAGCCAATACATTCCGAACACTGATTGGCTTCTTCTCCGATCTGCCGCAAAAATAAACCTCACTAAAAAATTGAGTCAAAATTTCGAGCAAACATACTGACGTCGAAGTAGCTCAGGTGGAAAGCGAGATCGTACGTTTGACGCATTCACGGCTTCCGGCTGGCGTGTAGGACCACGGGGAGCTGTAAGGGCATCGACAGCAACTATGCGCTCATCCATTCGCATTCGATGGTCAATAAATATGTCTAGGACATCTTGTGGCTCAAGCTGTTAAGAGGAATTATAATCAAATGACAAACATACATCAACTGTACGAAAATCTGGTAACAACTGATCAATAGTCTCCGCAAAAAGCTTTTGATACCGGACAGCGTTGAATTCTATGGCTTCAGCGAGTTCCGGTGCGTACTCAGATATGTCATCCAAAGAAACGTAAAGTACTGATTGTTCCCGATTAGCGATTAGCGTCTGTAGGCAATTATCAACAACTTCTACCACATACCAGCTGCTCGCTATAAACAAAATACTTATCCCCACATTCATCAGGTTGGCTGAAGAATCGCAGGAATTCTTCAATTTTTTTCTTGTCCTCCTCATAATCTCTGACAGACGATGCCATCTCACGGCTTCAAACTGAATAACCGCTCTTTTGAAGGACTTTGTTTTCGCAACATAATGAAACACAATTATAAACAAAGAAATAATAGTTAATGAATATTGGGAGTTGAGGCTTATTATTATTTTTGATTAGGATTTTTCCAAGGCATCTGATGAAAGAATTTGAGTTAAATTATACAAGTGCTACCACGTCTTTTGGCAAGTGTATAAAAGATTCAGATTTACTAATTGGTGATACAAGGCTTAGAGGCTATGTTAATCGCTTTCTTGTAAATTTCTGTGCTTGTCCCAATCTTTCTTGAATGAATCAATTGAGATTGAAGGCACCACTTCCTCGGGGAGTCGGTTTCAGGAGTTTGTGGCTCAGTGTGAGAACCAGAACTCCACAACAATATGGCTTCTCCTTGGCTCCTGAACTCTCTTGCTATATCCTCTAGAGTGTTCCGACCAGGTGAAAATGAATAGAGAGAATAGGTCAGGTCAGTGGTCATTCATTAAAATATTAAACATTGTGATTAAATCTCCTCTCTGCCTACGGTATGATAGGGGGATAAGATTCAGCCTGTCCGGTATTTCCTTGTGTGAAGAATTAGTCAGGCCACGAATCATACGCGTTGCTTTACTCGGAAGTCTTTCTAGAATATGTGGGTCCCCTATAACCAAAAGACTGGCTGTCTGCATACAATTTTCCGATTTTACCACATTCTGATGTGGTAAAGACGTATATATAAGAAGGTGAACGTATCTCTGGTGATTCTAGTAGTCTCTGCAAATTACCCGTAAGGATCTGAAACTACGTGGAGCCACAGTGCGAGAATAAACTGTGGTATTTAAGTCGTGCCTAACAATGTCACTGAAACCCGGATGAGTCAGATATGACTGAAGTTTCATCCCCTCTAGCTCGGAGGAGCTGATGCTTACGTGTCAGATGCTCATGGCTACACATTTCGCTACGTTGATCGGGAGCATCAATTATCTGAACCACTCTGACAATTTGTTGACGTCTTCCTGCAACATGAGCGTACCACCGTTGCTCTTCAGCACTCCGCAAATTTTTAGGTAATCTGCATATAAGACCATTAGCGAATCCGTGAAAACAGAAAACGCATTGACATATCAAATTAATATGGCAGTCTCGAGTACCGTGCCTTGAGGTACTCCGCTACGCACTGCTATCCAAGAGGAAAGCTTCAGGTTGATCCTAACCCTCTACCTTCCATCTATAAGGAATTCCTTGACCCAGTTTAGTAGGCCGCCTTTCATACCAAGACTTTCCAAATTAATTAGCAGTCTTCTCTGTGGAAATTCACTGAGAGCTTTGCTGAAGTCTGTGAAGACGACGTCAACGGCTTTTATTCTTCCCCTTGGTTTGACCCAGCTTTCTGTTTCAGCGAGGAGTTTTGAGGGGCATTAGAGCTTTCTTCGAAAGCCGTGCCGTGCTCTGGATAAAACGTTGCTCTTTCCCAGACATGCCATGATACTTTTCTTGATGATTATTTCCAGTATCTTGAGTAATGTGCTGGCGAGACTAATAGGCCCGTAATTTGAAGGGCTTCTGTTTTGATCCTCCTTTGTGGATGAAGACTACTATGGCGTCTTTTCAGTCACGGGGTAACACTTTTTAGGAGGGGTAGCTTGAAGATCGTAGACAATGGACTGGCTATGTGAGCTGATAGCTCCTTGACCGGCCTTGGATTAAAATTATCGAGCCTCACTGATTTCCCTGTATCTAGTTTCTTTTTAGGCAGTTAAGCAAGATGTCTTTGTCTACTTCAACGGGGTGTATCCGGTGCTCTGCTGATCCAACCAGAATCGACCTTATGGAGAGTGACGACTCCTGTGTAAAGACCGGGAGAATTAGTCTGCCATTGCTTCGGCTTTTTCTTGATCTTCTTCGGTTGTGACTTCGTTAGATGTCTTATTCCCCAAGTTCATGTATGTGGAAAGTTCCTTGGGCTTTGTAGCTGAATTTTGGGCCAGACGTGTTTTGAACTTCATCTTTGATTGATGTAGCGGCTTTGTTCCCAGCAGTGTTGCATAACTTTCTACCCTCGGGAGTCTCAGGTGTGGTAAATAGGTTCCAGCATTTGTATTCACGTCTGCCTAACTCACGGATCTCTCGGTTTATGCAAGTTGGCAATGTTTCGGACACTTTGGGACAACCCAAGGGATGGAAGGTGCAGTTATTCGGACGCAAAGTTGCTTAAACTGATTCTATGCGACTTTTAGTTTGGACTGTAGGTTTATGTACCAGTTCACTGAGTTGGCTGCTGAGACGATAGCATTTATATCAGCTTCCCCAAAGTTTAACCGAGTTGGGGTTTTGGTCCATAATACAGCTGCTGTGAACTTGAAAGTGAGCACAGCGTGGTCACTTCTTCCTAAAGGAGGAAGATGTGTATGAGTTCCACATCCTCACCGTAGGAGAACACTAGGTCCAGAGTTGAGGAGGAGTGCTCTCAGTCATAGCGCGTAGGCTTAATGACATGTTGAACTAGGGCTAGCGAAATACTAAATTCCAGCAGTTTATGATCAAAGGAGTTGGCTGAAGGTGGCGTTGTTAGGCTCGTGTATTATGACTAGGAGAAGCGTGAAGCGGGCGGGTAATTGTCATTTTTATAATAAGCCCGGCTGAACGGTCCTCTTTTTGCTCCAGTAGAGTTAGGTCAGCGCTTCTTCCTGAAAGAGAAGAGGAAAAACTTGTTTAGTGACATCATGATGGTTTTATCTCATTATACCTCTTGGATGTACAGCAGTCTTCAGGTGTTCCGCAGGTTTCCGACAAATTCAAACAATAATGGTGCCCAGGATTATATTATATAAATTGTTTTAACCGATGTAATGCTCGCTTACTATCATTATTCCATTACATTTCCTTGTATATATATCCTTTGTAGCTGAAAAATCGTTAATACTATTAATCCATGTATATATTATTATCATTTTGATGATACGTGTAAACTGAGGTCACTGTGGCAACAAATTACCGAACACTCACATCAATTATGCCTTTCACAACAACATTGCCCCTACTAGGCGCCTCCAGCAGGATTTTCACCAGCGTCAGTTAACAGAAACACCTGGCATCATGTATGTAGCACACATGATATCGGATCAGTTCCTTGCTGGCATAGCGAACAGTCTTCAGCTAGGGCAAAGCATATTCCCCGGGAGATAGCTGACGCAGTGTCGACACCAAACGCGGACACTAATACCTCTAAAATACTAACATCTGATTATCACACAGGTGTTTCTCACTGCATACCCTGTCCAAACGGTAGACCGCCCCTGACTACCACCTCACAGACATGCCTGAAGACTTACTATGATCCAAAGATATTGGCAAATGAGTCTAAAAACATATACAATGATAATAATAATGATAATTTTCTTTATTCTAAAAACAGTACTAATGATACAGGAAGGAATTTTCAGCATTCAGTACAACATTGCATCTAATTTACTCAAAAACGACAAAAAATTTAAAAATAAACATTGCATAATAATAACAAAACGTTGTTATAGTAGTTACATAGCAAAATACTGTATGCCATACGGTGAAAAATATGCTTAAATTGCAAAATTGTTGTAATAATAGTAATACCAACTAAAATAAAATAGCAGAGTAATAATTAAACGATAGAAAGTGTGACACCATAAAATGCAGAAAGATGAACAATGAAAGGGCCGATTCACTCTGCTAATTACATAGTAACTTATACGTTTCACGTCTAACAGTGTCTTTATCACATAAAGTACGGGCTAAATAGGGTATTGTAGAATTTCTATACTTAGTGGTACGAGCACATAACTTTTTATATTGACTTCTCGTCCTACCTGATGAAATACAAGGGGACAGGTGTGAATAAAGGGGGTGCAGAGGGTCTGACAGTATAGCCTTTGCCCATTTCGTACAGGAATTTATATGCCTCTCGACTATAGTATTAGCGAGCTCATGCAGTGGCAGACCACAAGCTCTACTCACAGCATTTAATACTCTTCGTAATATGATATAATCTTTTTTGAGAAGCTCAGGAAAGATTAATGGAGAGCAATGGAGTACAATAGGTAAAATACAGGAGTTTAAAAATTGCAAAACTAAAGGTTGGTTGATACCTGATTGTCTTAACTTTTTAATGTAGAAGGTAAGACGAAACATTTTCTTAGAGATAGATAAGATGTGTGATGACCATGAAAGGTAAGAGAAAAGAACTAATCCAAGGTATTTAATGCTTGACTTGGTTTCAATTTCCGTGCCATCTATGCTACAGGGATCATGCAAGCTAACTAGTTCAAGTAAGTCACGTCGATGCTTGAAAGTAAAGTCAGCTGCCTGACATTTGGAAGGATTTAATATAAGACCATTCGACTTGGACCACTTGTTGATGTCCAACAGAAAGCTATTAAGTTTGGAGCTGTCAGACTCGGAGGTGATAGGGAGTAATGCAGTCAGATCATCTGCATATTTGACAAAGTTAGTTTCGTTTGAATGAGGCAGGTCGTGTAGAAAGAAAGAAAAAAGAAAAGGAGAGAGGACGGCACCTTGAGGAATACCGGATTTTGTAAGCGAGGTAGAAGAAGATTTGCCATTATACACAGTATACTGCATTCTATCAGAAAAATAGGAATGCAACCAACTCTTTGCCCAGGATCCTGTTTGTGTCAACGAAAGCTTATTTAATAAAAGGCCCCTAGGTACAGTGTCAAAAGCAGATGTGTAGTCTAAGAAAGCACTACGAACATATTTGGCATCTTTGTCTAAACAAGAAACAACATTGTGATATAAGGAGACCGCAGCATCCAAGGTACTTCTACCATGTTTGTATGCAAATTGTTTAGGATCATTAAAAGGTTTCAAAGCGGGTTCAAGACGAAGTAAAAGTAATTTTTCCATCAATTTTAAAAAGGGGGAAGTAATTGCAATAGGCCGAAATTTAATGTCAGAACCAGAAGATGGTTTTGGAATAGGGATAATTTTAATGTTTTTCCATGCAAAAGGTAGAACGTTACCGGAAAAAGAAGTATTAAAATGTTAGTAGGAGGGTAACACAAAATATCAGCA